CGGGGACGCGCCGCCGCTGCTGTTGCTGCCGCCGCCGCGCCGGGGAAGACAACCCGGAGAAGCCCTCCACGAGCGTCCAAAACACACTCCTCCCGCCGGCGCTCTCCTCCCATCTCTCGCTAGGCCGACCCCGCAGCGACACCCCGCGGCCGGGAGGACTTATCACCGCCCTTGGGTCACGAGGGGAAACCTGCCTCCCACGGCCTTTCCTGCTCAGGTTATTTGAGTAATCCGCGTTGCGTAACGTGGAGCGTCCCACAAGTTACATGTCAGGTGACAGAAGAGTATTTAGACTCCCTTTCTTCTAAGTCTCCGAGGGATGCTTTAGGTCGGTATGCGCACCACAACCACGCTGTTCTGTGAGGCGAACCCATAACCTTGCCTTGGAAGTTGCCGCGACTGGCAAAAGCGACGGGAAAAATAATTCTAGAAAACGGGACGAAACGCAGAAAATTTGTAAAGGATATTTATAGATTAATAGCCTGATTTAATTTTTCTTTTTATGAGCTCTCAAGTCACCTTCGGCTTATGGTGATGTCAATAAACTCTCATTACAGCAGCCTGGCCAGCCCTTGCCTGCTTAAAGCGGTGGCTTCCTTGGTTGAGTCAATCCGTCAGACATTTGGTCTTTCTTCTCAGCTTCACGCCTTCAAATATTCCTAGCGTTGTTGTCTTTATTTTTCAGCAAGTCTTCTCTTTTCACAACGGGCCCAAGATAAAACAGCCCCAGTTGTGGCATCTTTACCTTTAGAGATTGTTCTGGCTTGATCTGATCTAGCATTCACTTTTTCCTCTTTCTGATGATCCAGGATACCCTCGAAACTCTCTGCCAGCACTGTATTTTAAATAAATCAACCTTTTTCTTGTTGGCTTTCTTTTCAGTGCAGCTTTCATACCTGTACTGCGCATGGTATGTCCTATATACTATAGTATATTGTCTTATATATTATACGTTATAAATATACATGTAGTATATCATAGAAAATTAATAATTGTAGATAATTTTGTCTCCAGTAACAGACACATCCTTACAATTACTTGAGGATCTTTTCACCAGTAGTTTTTACCAGTGTACAATTAAAGAAATGCCAAGTTAAAGATTAGCAAGGGCAAAGACTTTCCCTTCCGTTCCTCTGCTAATGTCCATGGTGACAGGTCTCAGATCACCCTGTCCCCTGACAGCCCCCCTCCAATTTTCACACTCACACCACTACGCAATACTTTGAAGTTCAGATATTCATTTAAATTCTTTTTTTTAAACAACAGAACTTTCTGCTGAGAGGAGTGGGGAGAAATTGTAGAAACATAGAACCATAAATAATGTTGGAAGGGGCCTATAAGGCCATTCAGTCCAACCTGTTTCTTAAGGCAAGAATCTATTTTAAAAAAATTCAAAGTGGGTCTGACAGAGAGTGATCCAATTTTCTCTTGATGCCTCCAGCGTTGGAGTGCTCACCACCTCCTGAGGTAATTGGTTCGGTTGTCCAACCTCTCTAACATCTCTCCAAGATGTCCTGATGCCTCCAGCGTTGGAGTGCTCACCACTCTTGGGGTAATTGGTTTGGTTGTCGAACCTCTCTAACATCTCTCCAAGATGTCTTGCACATTCAATAGAAAATAATCGCATGAGACAGACTCATTCAAACAATCAAAACTAAAATGAAAAAAAGCAACAGCATTAAACAAGAAGCAAGTTTAGTAACCAAGAAACTGAACTGTTGTAATATGAACAAACTGGACAATTCCTCCTTAGTCATTTGCTTTTCTTCAAAGAAAAGAAAAAGACAGGAGAAACATAAGCATATAGGAGGTTAACATGTAGAAGATGATGACTCCTTGAAATCCACCCTGCCATCCCTAAAATTTGTACTTTGGCAAAACAAGGGTACAATACTTTTATCTTGTGTCTGGATGCACCTTTTAGGTGTTATACAAAAATTAGTAAAGGCAGCATTAGATGAATTTGTTGTGGGGTGGGGATTCCATCTCTGGACTGCAGTTTCAAAAAAGGTTCCTCTCTCTGGTAGCCACCAGTTTAAACCTCTGGATGTGATAGTAACCGGAATGGGGGCCCATATTAAAAAAAGCTGGAGGAATTGTTAAAGTGGAGCCGGGGCACACAGGATGAAAGCTCAGGGACTATCCAATTAGCAGGAACAGTGGCCAAAATCCTGCTGTGTTAGTTATGCCTGCAGAAAGATGGTGACATTGGCAGTAGGAGGAGACTTTTGACGATGAAGGATTTCTTCTTTCTGCTTGGTGGCTGGTCAGACTCCCATGTAATTACTTTCACTGTTTGCAAGCTATGGGAGCCTTGAGAGGGAAGGAGGAAGACTCCTAAATCCTTCTGCTGTGACGATATGACCCTTCTGCAGTCATAATTTATGCAACAGGATTTTGCCATATAAACTCATCTGCCACCTCTCAGGCTTCCCTATTCCCTTTAAATGTAGCTGCAGCCTTTCAAGTTGTTGAGGATTGGCAGCAAGATATTGTTGTGAATGGAAAGTAAAGTGGTGCCTCGCATAACGAGCGCACCGTTTAACGACGAATTCGCATAGCGATCTATTTTTTTAGATCGCTAATGCGATCACATTGCAATGTTTTAATGGGTAAAACATCGCATTGCGATGATCGGTAAGTGTTTCGCTTACCGATCTTTGCATTGTGATGTTTTTTAAACAGCTGATTGGCGGTTCCAAAATGGCCACCGGGTGCCCAAAATGGCCACCGCAAGTGTTTTTGCGCCCTGCCCTCGCTTACTGAGGGCACGAAAATGGCGTAAATCCTGCTGTGACGATATGACCCTTCTGCAATCATAATTTATGCAACAGGATTTTGCCATATAAACTCATCTGCCACCTCTCAGGCTTCCCTATTCCCTTTAAATGTAGCTGCAGCCTTTCAAGTTGTTGAGATTGGCAGCAAGATAATGTTGTGAATGGAAAGTATATTGGAATTGACTTGGATAACATAAATGAATAACGAAGAGACATTAGCTTTACAAAAGATCTGCTCTTAGTTGAAGTGGAAAGTGATAGAACCGGTCTTTTGCTGCCCATCAACCTAGATGATCACGTATTTGAAATCTCTTTGAGAATATGGCAATGGAGACTATGTATGATGAATTTCTTGACTTTAGAATTTACCACTGCACAGTATATGGAATGCATTGGATTGACATGAAACATATCACTAGCCTACAGCCCTGCCCTCGCTTACTGAGGGCACGAAAATGGCGGCGCTATGGAGGAACTTTGCTGAACTGTGAGTTTGGGAGCCATAGGAACGCATTAAACAAAGTTTAATGCGTTCCTATGGCTTTTTCCGTTCCATTTAGCGATGTTTCTGCATAGCGATGATTAATCTGGAATGGATTAACGTCGCTATGCGGGGCACCACAACTTGGATAACATAAATGAATAATTAAGAGACATTAGCTTTACAAAAGATCTGCTCTTAGTTGAAGTGGAAAGTGATAGAACCGGTCTTTTGCTGCCCATCAACCTAGATGATCACGTATTTGAAATCTCTTTGAGAATATGGCAATGGAGACTATGTATGATGAATTTCTTGACTTTAGAATTTACCACTGCACAGTATATGGAATGCATTGGATTGACATGAAACATATCACTAGCCTACAGCCATGAGAAATCAAATAAATACAGATTGCCCATTGTTAAAGTGATAATCATGAAGCCATAACATATCTACACCTATTATGCAGATAAATGTGACTAAACACATGCTGCCTGCTGGACAGCTCAGTGGCTTAGACAAAGAAGTTGGGAGTTCAATTCCCTAGTGTGCCTCCTTGACAGGAGCTAGACTTGATGATCTCAATTCCTGCACTGCCATTCTAAGATGAGGATGAGGATTTAATATATATTATTTGTTCTCCTATGCTAGAAGTTGTGTGGTGCATGATCTCATGTCACAGGTTAAGCTCATCTGGTAACGGTATGTAAAGACTAGGTAGCAAAACCCAATACTGTAAATGTTAAATATGTATGTATTTAGCCTGACAGTAAGTATTGTGATGTGCTGAGAAGGAGGCAATTAAAACCTCTGGTTCCTGTTAGATGCACTAGAGTGATGGAATATTCCATCTTCTAAGGGAAATTGTTGGCCTTTTGATCTTTGCAACACCTCTGCTGAAATAAAAGATCTTTCATGTGGGCTTAGGGACAGGAAGAGCTGTATGGGCAAAGTAGAGAGAGGCAACAGCTGTGAGCTCAGTGGGGCTGGGGCTGGGTTCAAGGTTTGAACTAACACTCAGGAGAGTTGGCTCCACACTCAGTCATGAAGCTTCCTGGACGACCTCGAGTCAGGCACACACTCTCCGACTGATCTACCGCATAAAACTGTTGTGAAGATAAAGTGGGGACGAGAACAGCCATGAGCTTCTTGGAGGAAAAGCCAGATATAAAGGTAAGAAATAAATAGTGAGAGCCCAAGATGGAGGGGAGCGAATGGGAGAGAAATGAAGAAATTCGCAGTGCCAGGAGAGGGTCCACAGAGGCTAAGACATCCCATTTCCCCCAACTTCACACAAACGGCGTGACTTTTAAACCTGAATTGCTGTAAGCTGAGAAATCTCCATAAGCATTATCTGCTGCGTCTATTGGGTTTCACGACTCAACATGCCACAGATAATGCCTAGAGTTCCCTTAACCTACGGCAAGAGTTATGTCATTTGTGTTAAAAGACAGTAAGATTTTAGCCAATGCTTTGTTTTTGTTTTCAAGCCCACCTTTCACCAGAAGAGCCCCACTCCTGTCATTTTTAAACTTTGGAAAACAGGCAGTTATTGACTAAACGAATGAGACTTACAGAAGGCTGAGAAGAAGTTTCTGCCATTTCTTTGTGTTTCCAATTTTTTGGGGTGGGGAGTTCCAAGTATTGTTACATAGCAACCCATCAGCACTACATAGCATAACCAGTGATGAGGGATGATGGGATTTGAAGTCCAGTAATGTTTTGCCCACTCCTAGTATTGGGGCAGCTAGAACTGCAGTGATGAAGTCATGTTATTTAGCATCTGTCCTGTAATTGTTTAGTATAATGTATGTTTGACGTATATGGGAAGCCAGCCCTATTTCCCTTGAGAACTTTCCTAGACACTCTTCCGGCTAAGTGGAGAACCTGGGCTTGTGCCC